ACCCCGCCCTTCCTGCTAAGTATTGGATCAGCAGCTCTGACATCAGACTTAGTGATCAAGATAATGGTTTCATGAATTTCCCAGAACTTGCTCAAGGCAAATTCGCCTTGGTTTACCATGGTTCATGGTTGACTTTGATTAGGCAAGAAGGTGTGAATTTACCTCACATCAAGGTTTCAAGGTGTTGACTCATTACGTGACTCGCTAGGTAGCGACCCGTCGTCTCTGTACTATCTGAATTGAATTTCAGCAGGAATAGTGACGGGTATGTAATTTTGTTGAGTCGGTAACAGAGGGATATCCAGGAAGTGAAGAGCTCGATACACATGCAAGATGTTACACGATGTGCTATCATGACGATAAGACATCTAGGGAGGTTCTTGGCGCTAGAGAGAGAAAAGTGGAGCGTGAGTTCATCGTCGATCACACCGTTGAGTCACCCGAGCATCGATGGATAATGTGTACTGTAGATCAGCTTACAAGGCATGATCAGCTTAACCTGTTGAGTTCGGCAATTCATCGGGGCAGGGAATGTTGCTACTCGATCGTCATACGCTCTCTTTCGGTTGAAGTGTTAATATAAAACCCGATGCCCTTAGCAGACCGTTTTACGAGGAAATGCCACGTCTAGCCACTGAGCGATGGTTACATCATCCTCGCCAAGCGAGGTCAAAGAGTGAGAAATTAACCCTAATTCGATTCGATTAGAATCTCGATTAGAGCTATCCAATCAAGTCGTAAACAATCCATGGATATGCTGGGAATTGATCTCGGAATCATGTACATGCAAACAATATATGATCTAGCCCATGGTTTCATCATAGAGTGCCCTCCACGTATATCTAAGGATATTGTCTCGTCGGTTAGATGATTAGCACGTGGCAGAAGATATCACCTGAGGTGATTCACCTCAGATGTGTTAGACTTCCAACTAAACACTAAGACCAATTTATTGAAGATGAATAAGTGCCGTAACCGTACAGGTATGATTGCTGGATGCGGCAACAAAAAATACAGGGAAACCCACACCGAGCAAATGGTCGACTTGGCGCAGAGCAGACCAACAGGTCAACGACGCTGGAGACCTCCAAACCCTGGCTTCGACGCATCGTATGACCGCGGTCCTACTCCACTCTGTGTAGGGGTATTTGGTTGTTGCCAGCGGTTCTGTTGCTGCGACCCTTGATAAGCCTGCTGAACCGGACGAGCGCCCCATCCTTGCTGTTGAGTTTGTTGTACTTGCTGTGGAGCACCATAATTGTTGTACGCATTCCCCATACCCCTCGCACTAGTTGGATATGGAGAATTGTTCTGTCGCTGTCGCTGATGTTGTTGTTGGTGCTGGAAGCCTCCACCGCTACTGCTGCTGGTATATGGCGATTGTTGTTGCGGCTGTTCCACATAGTTCCACGAGCTGTTGCTGTTGTTCCAGCTCCCCATCGAGTTAGCTGCACTAGAGTAACCACTGCTATGCCCTGCCCTGCTGTTGGTGTACGGCCTAGCGCCCACTCCCGATTGCTGCTGCTGGGGATAACTCGAGCCGTTGCCGTACTGTATCGTACCCTGTTGCCCAGGGCCTTGCGTGAACGGTGTCGAGGGCTCCGAATTGAGAATACTGTCAAAGTCCAGACCGTCATCCTTCGCATTAGCAGAGCCAAATAAGGCAGAGGTGTCCACTTCGTCATCCTCAAACAATGTCGCTACGCCCGTAGGTCGTCGAGTGAAACTCGTATCCCCCGAATCATCCGACTTCTTCTGCTTCGCTCCGCTCTTAACTGAGCCACTGCCACTTCGCATACCGCCAGCCGTCTCCGGTGAAAAACTCACAGTCGAATCCTGAGGAAAGGATCTTTCCACGGCTTTCGCTCTGCGATGGAGTGGCACTCACCTGAGCGCCTCCAGGCTGCACGTGATGATCTCCATCAGGCGTACTGATGGCGAAAACTGCCGCATTGCCAGTGTTCGACACCCCGTATCTGGGGATGGGGGACGCCGCGTCGGTACCCTAATCCACAGAGAACTTCCACTCCATCGTTTGGAGGAACACTCACCCAAAAGTCGTCAGGTGGAGTCTGTTTTCCAGCAGTTTTCCGCAGCTCTCCGACGGGAGACGCCAACGCTTCCTCCCCGCCCTAACAAAAGAGCACTCTGCAGTCCTAAAGAAGTCGGAGGATCTCCATCACTGTCCGTGAAACCGAAAACATGAGTATCTATGCCGAGCAAAGGCCCCGCAGCGTGAGAAACGTACCAGAGAGCTATCCAGCTCTCAGAAATAACGTTCCTAAGATCCCGCCGAGACTAGGAAAAATGTTCCGAATGAGCGATTATAATGGGGAAAATCTCGAAAATTGGCCGAAAATATGTTCCTAGCCATTTTGAGAGTCAAGAATTCGTTCTCGGGAAGATTCCTCCGGGAACATTTCAAGTTCCTCGATGACTCCCTGAAACGTACCTCAGCATCCACGAGCATGAGCTCACTGGAATGTTGCTGGAACATGTCCTTAGGAACACCAGCCGTTCTGATATCCTCCGCCGTCCTCTCATCGGCCACATCACCGCTATAAGAGGAGACAGTCGAGGGCTTCCGAGTGTGATCACGCTGAGGGGTGACTGTCAACTCGCCAAACTCGAGCATTGAACCCACCTCAGCTGGACTGCTCATCATCAGACTGGAAGCTCCCACAGGCGACAATGCAGTCGCCTTTGTGGCAGCTGTTGGTACCGTAGCATTGGGGACAGGGGCCGTAGCATTGGGGACAGGGGCCGTAGCATTGGGGACAGGGGCCGTAGCATTGGGGACAGGGGCCGTAGCATTGGGCACAGGGGCCGTAGCATTGGGGACAGGGGCCGTAGCATTAGGCACAGGGGCCGTAGCATTGGGGACAGGGGCCGTAGCATTGGGGACAGGGGCCGTAGCATTGGGGACAGGGGCCGTAGCATTAGGCACAGGGGCCGTAGCATTGGGGACAGGGGCCGTAGCATTGGGGACAAGGGCCGTAGCATTGGGCACAGGGGCCGTAGCATTGGGCACAGGGGCCGTAGCATTGGGCACAGGCAATAGGGAACCAGATGAAGGCGGTCCAACAACCCCACTACTGGACGACTTCACGGGTTCTGATGACAAAGTCGTTTCTGGTTCTCCTCTAGGAGGAGGAGGTACACTCTCTGAATGAAAGCTGTTCATGAGCTTATCCAATAAGCACCCATCTGTCACCTGTATTGGTCTTCTCTAGATTGCCCAACTTTTCTGCCTCAACTCTGCTAGCCTCCTGGAGGGCTCTATCGAGCTCCACAGCTCGTGCTTGTTCCCTAGCGAGACTCTCAACGAGACCAGACCTGACAACATCCCATGTCCATTCCTGAACCCCAGGGTGTCCTCACTTCTCATTGCACAGGGCCTCTACCCTAGCACGCAACTCTTCAACTGTTCCTGCTAGCTCTGAACTTCTGCCCTTCTCAGCGTCCAAGTCCGCGCGGAGGTCGGGGTCTACAGAAAAGGACCACAAACC